GCCCCCTTTCCCCCCCCCCGTCCCCTTTGCCCTCTCTCAGCCCCGTGTACCTCTCTGCTGTTCCTCTGCAGCCAAAGCATGAAAGAGACAAGAAGGAGCACAGTTAGAGAAAAGCCCAGAAATGGCCCCACAAAGCAGGAAGAGGGGACAGCAGGGGAGGGAGGGAGGGAGGGAGGAGGCGGGGAGCTCCTTTCACAGGCCTCAGCCTGTCTTGTGCCTGGAGTGTTTATTGTGCATGGGTGGGGGGAGTCTGCCCCCTGTCTCGGCGCTGTGCGGAGGCATTAAGCACGGGTGAAGCCAGGACCGGTCACAAACGGTGTGCCTTCGTCCAAAAGGGCCTCCATCTGATGCTCCGTGTCCAGCAGGGCTTCTGAGGGCACCCAGGAAGCCCCCTCCCCGAAGCGGCACTGCCCTTTCTCCGTGGCCCCCTGCCCACTCCCACCTGATGCCAGGGCCTGAACGAGGCAAGCAGCCAACTGAAGGCGCCCCGGCCTGAGCGGCTTCCCAGCCCGCAAGGAGGCTCCGGATCAGGCTGCCCCGGACCCACCTCCTGCGATGCTGGAGATGACCGAGGCGATGCCCGAGGGGGGTGCCCCACGCAGGCCCTCGATGGTGCGCTTGGACTGATTGCTGAGCCGCTGCTTCAGTTCCAGCTTCTCCGACTCCAGCTGGTCAATGTCCGCCTGCAGGGCGTCCATCGTCTCCTCAAACTCCCTACGTGAGAAAGAGACCGGCTGATCCCTGGGCCTCCCCCACCTCTCGGGCCCTGGGATTTGGGAGGGGGGAGCTTAACACTCTTAAATTTTTACGGTTTCTTCCCAGGTGACGGACAAGGGTGGCAGGGACAGATCCCCAAATCACTCCTGCCCTGTTTCCCTTCCACCCGGGTGAATGGGTGGGGGTCAGGGGAAGGCTGGGGATGCAGCTGGTGCCTGAGCTGAGGGACATGGAGTGTGAGGCGCCTGCAGGGCTCCGGGTGCGGCTGGATGGCCGGGCTCCAGCCTTGCTTGCAGAGTGGGCTGCCCAGACTGGGAGGGGCTGTCGTTGTGCACCAGTTGCCCTGCTGCGTAGCGACCCTCCCCCCAATCGCCTGAGCTGCTTGAATGATTGGCCCGCCAGGTGGCAGAGTCCCCCAGATTTAGGGTTCCTGGGTCCTCAATCTAGAGTCCCCAGGTGTGGACTGGGAGGGGGCCCAGGATGCACTGCCACAACCCAGACCCCAGCCCAGTTTTTTAGAGGAGGCGGTTTTTAGAGGAGCAGCTTATCTGGAGCCCACCTCAGGCCAGATTCCTCGCTGGTGACAGCCCCAAGATGGTGCTGAGCGTGACCTCTGGAGGGAGGGGTCCCCAACCTTGGGCCACTTCAACTCCCAGAATTCCACAAGTCCTAAAGTGGCCAAGTTTGGAGACCTTTGCCCTGGAAAGCTGCCTCACCTCCACCGCAGAGAAAAGGCCTTCTGACCCAGAGATGCTGCCCAGGATGCCATCGGAGGAAAGAATTCAGGATCCTCCCCACCCCCCGTGCTCATCGGACAGAGAAAGAAACTGAGGAATTCTGGGAGTTGAAGTCCACAAGTCTTAAAGTGGACACGGTTGGAGACCTCTTGCCTCTGGAGGGCTTGGGATGTGGGGGGGGGGCAGATCTCCTCGCTTGATTGCTACTTCAGGTCGGCCTCGGTTTCCGTCTCCCGGGTTCTCCCTCCCCCCCCAGAGCTTCCAGAGGCCCCTCGCGTACTTCTCCTTCTTCTTCAGCAGCGCTTGGGTGTCGCTCAGCTTGCTCTGGATCTTCTCCACCCGCTCGTCGGCATCTTTGGAGGCGCTGTCCAGCTTCTTCTCCAGGAGGCTGAGGCGCACGTTGGCTTCGCTGAGCTCCTCGCCCTGGAACGGCAGGGAGGAGAGATAGGCGTGCGGCCAGGGCGATGAGGCTCCCCTGGCGCAGGCCGAGGTGGCGGACGGGCTTGCCAAGCGTACCTTGATTTTAAGAGACTTCTTCAGCTCTTTGATGACGGTCTCTCGATCCTCCAGCTTGAGCCCCAGGCCCTCGGCGTCCGTGATCTCGGCCCGAAGCGCCGCTGCCCGCAGCTGAACCGGAGGAAGGGGCTGCCAAAAGAATGGACCGGCCGTTCACCCAGGATATCCGGAGATGACCTCTCCAACTCAGAGCTGCCAACGGTGACCCTCCCTCTCCGAGCTCCAGGGGCAGCTCTTAAGTGGGAAGGCAAATGCAGACAGGCTCTTCGGAGCTCCGTCTCCCGTCTGCTGGCCCATTCGTAGCGCCAGCCGGGAGCTGCCTGCAAACGCTCAGCAGCCGGCGTGGGGCTCACCTTGGTCTGGGGCTTGTCTGCATCGTATTCGCCCTCCTGCATGGCGGTGGCCATCTTGTTCATGGTGGCGATGAGGATGTTGCAGGACTGGCGCAGGCACTCGTAAGGGCTGATGCCCTGCGCTCCATAGATCTGGGAATGAATCTCGGACTCAGTCCTTGCCTGACCTCCCGGAAAGTCTCCAGCCACGAGAGAAGGGTGCCATGCCCACTTCCCGGGAAGCTTTGGAGGACCGTGGACAACGTGGCCTTTCTTATGAGTGCCCCACCTCCCCGGACCATGGCAGCAGCAGAAGAGGCATGAACCGAAGCAGCCTTGGCCACTCCAAACCGCTGACACAGCTGGCAGCCCTTTTCCTCACCCCCTTCCCAGGTACAAAAGGAGGCCAGGAATCCCACCCCCCGCTGCCAGATATTCTGCTCAGGATCCCGGGCCCGAGTAAGCAACCAAGGCCTGCAGCTGTATCTCTGCAAACCGATCGGTTCCAGCCCTGTCCGGGGCGCCGAGATCCTATCCCACCTGCACTGGGATGAATCCACTGAGCGGATGAGGAGGGAGGGGGAGGGAAGGGAGGGGCAAGCCTGGACCAGCTCCTGCTTACCTGCTCACTGGCCTTGAAGGCCAGGTCCTCCAGTTTCACGGCCTGCAAGCCCTCGTTCTCGGTCAAGGGGGCGATCATCTGAGCCCCTGCAGCCGCCACCTCCTGCAGCACCGCCACCACCCAGGTCAGGTGTTTGCGGCAGTCCAGCAGGATCTCTGAGACCTAGGAGAGCGACAAGCAAAGCGCGGCGTCAAGTTCTCTGCAGAGGGAGGCAGGGGGAGGCTTACTCCCACCGGTTTGGGGTGGGGAGGCTGGACGGGCGGCTCACCTGTTGCCCAAAGCCCAGGGCCGCAGGGATGCCGGGAGCCTCGGTGCCCGGCATGCGCCGCCTGATCTTCTTGCAGAACTGGCGGATGTCGCTGCACGAAGTCTCCAGGTCCTTCAGGAGGATGGCGAAGTCGGAGGCCTCCTGTCCGGTCTGTAGAAGGGGAGAGGGAGGTTCAGCCGGGTTCGGCCCTCCAGGGTACTGGCCGGTCGGCTCAGGCAAGACTCTTACCTGGAGAAAGGAGCGCAGCCGGCAGACCTCCACGCTCATGCAGTCCAAGGCACTCTGAGTGAACTGCAAGGGGAAGACGGGCCGTGCTCAGAGCAGGGCGAAGCCAGCGCCATCACGCAGCCCTCTTCTCTCTGCCCCCACCCCCCGGGGGGGGTGTCAGCCAAGAGCAGAGAGGCCTGACACCTCCCCCCCCCACCACATACAGCAGCCCTCCCTGCAGCGGCTCACGCGGGAACCTGGCTCCCCTCACCTTGATGTGGTCAGCCAATTGCACCGTGCAGTCCTCGGCCTGGTCAGCCAGGTGGATGCTGTACAGGTGCTGAGAGGGGAAGGGAAGACGTCACTGCTGAGCTGCGCTCCCGCCTCGCCCTGGCCTCGCCCTCCCCACCCCACCCGGGCTGCACCTGGTAGTACTTGATGGCCTTGGTCAAGGGCTCCACGTTGACCGTCTCGTCCAGCTGGTCCTTGTGCAGCAGCTCAATCAGGAAGTCCAGGGACCTCTCGTGCACGCACATCTCCGGATAGAGCAAGCCCACTTTTCGGTAGATTTCCACGCTGCACTTACTCAAGGCCCTGGGAGGGCAGGGCAAGGGCGTCAGGGGAGGAGGCCATTGGGCCAAGCCCCGGGACTCCCCCACAAGACTCCCCAGGCCCGGCCATGCCCCCACTCACTGCTCGTATTTGTGGAGCGTGGCTTGCAGAAGGAGCAGAGAATAGACCAGCCCAGCAGCGAAGCTCAGCTGCTCCCCCGGTGCTCCCCGGAGACCGGCTCTCTCGGCACAGTTCTCGCTCAGCTCAAACTTCTCTTGCGCCTGTCGGCTGATCAGCTCGGCCTGTTTCAGAGAGGAAGGGGCTGCTGCAGTGGTGGTATTCAGCCGGTTCACACCGGATCGGGCGAACCGGGAGCAAGAATTTGTCGTGGGTTGCCGAACCGGTAGTTAAGTTCTGGCTGGCCACGCCACGCCACCCCCCCGGTCGCCCTCCCGCCC